ACCTATCACCATCCTGAAGGGAAAGAATGGAGATCTAATCTCTGACCCCCAGGAACTGGTCAGTAGGTTTTCATAGCATTTCTATGAGGTCTTGGGGGTGGAAAATTTCCACAACCCAGACACCATCATGGGGCAAAGTGGGGACGACCCTGCTGGGGCTGCGGTGCCTCAAATATTGGCAGAAGGAGCCAGCCCTTCTGAATGGCTGCCTGAGGTGCCATCTGTGGAGGACGGGCGAGGGGCGATCCAAAGTCTGAGACCAGGAAAAGTTCCGGGCAGTAATGCCATATTCTCTGTCTGCCTGCTACAGCAGAGGTGTAGAGAATTCCAACAAGACCTAAATCTCTGCTTTATTGATCTGGTCAAGGCCTACGATAAATCAATAAGCCAGGGCTCTGGGTTGTTCTTCGTGCTCTTGGAGTCTCTGACTCTCTGCTCACAGGAATGTCCCTGGCTCCCACATTATTTAACATGATCTAGATTGAGAATATTTTTGGTACAGATACAACGGGAGGCTGATCGATGCCCGGGTGCGGTAGAGGGATGGCTTCCTTTTGGTCAACCATGTTACGTATGCTGATGATCTGGTTATTACTGCTCACTCAGACGAGGAGTTGGAGGCTCTGCTGCTGAACCAGGAGTGTGCCACTAAGAGATGGTATCTTACCATCAGCCTCACTAAAACGTAACACCTGCCTGGGTATTTTTTGCCATCAAACACTCCAATTCCCTCAACTCCCCATTAGTGATGGAGCAGTTTTGGAGAGAGTGGATTCCATACCTGGGCAGTGTGCTTATGACCAGCTCCGAATCACTCGGGCAGCATTATATTTTCATTGGCTGCGTAATGCTGTGTGGAAGCTATCTGGTCTGCTACTCTGCACGAAGCTACGGGTCATCTCGGTCACAGTCATGCCCTCCCTTCATTTGTGCCGGTTAGAAATATTCAGGCTGGTATGCCTACGATCAATCCTGGGTTTGACCAGACTGGATTATTTGAGGAGCTCACTAATCCCTGAAAGATCTGGACAAAGTCCCATCAATGAGCTCTTCCGCCAGGCAAGGCTGCGTTAGCTGGGTCATGTAGCGTTGGCTGGGTCATGTAGCCTGTATTCTCAGCCACCGCATGCCAAGCCGCTTGTGTTTGGCCGGATAGAGAGTGCTACAGAGGCACGACACGGGCTGGAGAAGAGATGGAGTGATGCGGTACGGAAGGATGTGGAGCTGAGCCGCCAACAACAACGGAGGGCAGAGGAGCGACGCTCACAACAACGAGCGGAGCGCTGGGCTGATACAATACAGCGAGTTGGCACATTAGGGGGCACAGCTGGTGCATCGAACAGTCATCTCAGTCAGTCAAACCATGGCACCTGGGTGTGGCCCCTGACCTCCTGCCAGCGGGCGTTCGACACTTCACGCGGCTTGAAATGTGCACTTCGCCTGGCACATCCGCCGTGGTGACGTCACCACCGCTTTGTGGAGAATGGCGGTTGTTGTTGTTGCTGTGTGTGTGAACATGCAAATGTACCAAAACATACGTGTGTGTGTATATATAGTACGTGTACACATATACGTGTATGTGTGTGTATGGATTTAGACACGCGTATACATGCGATGATGAGTGCGTATGTAGGAAGAGCGGTGGCGCAGTGGTTAGCACACTGTGCTTCGAACCCGGCGACCCGAGCGATATTTTTGAGCTGCTCCTGGACCTCCCCTTTTAGGTCGACTCAGCCTTAAATGAGTACCTAGTGCGGTGTATACAACATCGCCACTGGGGAGACAAAGGCGGCCGGGCGTGGCGCTTGCCACACCACGCCCCCCCCCCCCTTTGTGCGCTGTGCCGGCCTTCATAGGTGTTACTCGCTAATGGAACTTGCCCCAACAGTCTTTCCAGGCTACACGGGTGATCTTTGTCTTTGTTTGGCATGAGTGTGGGGAACGGTGGCACAGCGGTTGGCGCACTGCCAGATGCTCGAGTCGCCCGTTCACGGTCAACGTCAGTGGCGAGCGATACCACAGCCGCTCTCGCCGCCTCCGCCAACTCGATCGTCTCGACATTAAACGAGTTACTCCTCTGCCGGCTGCCGCGTGTGTGTGTTGAACATCAGCACTGGGGGAGACAAAGGCGGCCGGGCGCATGTGGTTTCCCTGGCCACACAGCCTCCGCCATAGGCGCGCGTCCATCGGCGCTGCTGCTCGCTAACAGCACTTGCCCCAACAGGCTGTGTGGGCTACACGGGCGAACTTTGTCTGTGTGCGGAGTGTTGCTGCAGCTGCGGTCTCTGTAGAGATGGGGGGGGGGGGTCACCCCCCCCCCCCCCCCCGAGAGGCGGAGCCAGAACCCAAACTGCCGGGACATCCCGGGGATCCAGATCCAGGTATCACCACAATCACCACCACCATCACCACCACCATCACCATTACCACCACCATCACCACCACCATCACCACCATCATCACCACCATCAACACCACCATCACCACCATCACCACCACCATCACCACCACCATCACCACCATCACCACCACCATCACCAACATCATCACCACCACCATCATCACCACCATCATCACCACCATCACCACCATCACCACCACCATCACCACCATCACCACCACCACCATCACCACCATCATCATCATCACCACCACCATCACCAACAACAACCGCCATTCGCCACTAAGTGGCGGTGACATCACCACGACGCTTGTGCCAGGCCATGTACACCTTGAAGCCACGTGAAGTGTCGAACGCCCGCTGACAGGAGGTCACGGAGCAGACCCAGGTGCCACGGGTCGACTGACTGAGATGACCGAGATGACTGGCTGATGCACCACCTGTGCCCCCTATTGTGCCAACTTGCTGTGCTTTAGCCACCCGGCGCTCCGCTCGTTGTTGAGAGCATCGCTCCTCCGCCCTCCGTTGTTGCTGGAGGGCGACTGCCTCCAACTGCCCAGTAGCGTCCTTCACGAGCCTCCTCCACAGAGCACAGAGTCCGATCTTGACACCGCTGGTACCAGTCATCTGCAAGTCCACTCAGCTACACGTCCTCCTGTACCACATCACTCCATCTCTTCTCTAGCCCGTGCCGTGCCGGTTTAGCCCCCTCGATCCGGCCGAACAAAAGCTGTTTAGGCATGCGGTGGCTGGGCATGCGGGCTACATGACCAAGCCAACGCAGCCTTGCCTGCCAGAGGAGCTCACCGATGGAACTTTGCCCAGATCTTTCAAGGATATGTGAGCTCCTCACACAATCCAGCCTGGATAAACCCAGGATTGATCGTAGGCAGGCCAGCCTAAATGTTTCCAACTGGCGAAGATGCTCCATTAGAGGGGTCCACGTTTTGCAAGCATAGAGAAGGGAGGGAATGACTGTGGCCGAGAAAACTTGAAGCTTCCACACAGCGCTACGCAACCGATGAAAAGACATTGCCGCTCGACTGATTCGGAGTGCGACCTCTGCTGTTAAACTGGAGCCGGTCATAAGCACACTGCCCAGGTAAGGGAAACTCTCCACTCTTTCCACTACTGCCCCATCACCGATTGGGAGTTGTGGGAGTGGAGTGTCCGATGGTACAAAATACCCAGGCAGGTGCTTAGTTTTGGTAGGGATGATGGTAAGGCCCCACCTCCAGTCTCAGCAGCAGCGTCTCCAACTCCTCCTCTGAATGAGCAGCTATTACCAAATCATCGGCGTACATAACGTGGTTGACCAATAGGGAGCTATCCCTTGATCGCACCTGGGCATCGATCAGCCTGCCATTATATCTGTACAAAATGGAAATTCCCCCGGTACAGCTATTGAAGGCTTCACGTCAAAATATATGTTAAATAATGTGGGCGCCAGAGGACATCCCTGTAGCACCCCAAGGTGTACAGGGAAAGGCTCTGACTCCCAGTCACGTAGTTTTACCCGGGCCCGCCCACCATCATGAAGGTCCTTAATGATCGTGAGCAGAGGGTCAGGGACTCCGAAAGCATGAAGAACAACCCAGAGCCCAGGCCTACTGATGGTATCATAGGCCTTGACCAGGTCAATAAAGCAGAGATGTAGGTCTTGTTGGAATTCACTACACATCTGCTGTAGCAGACGGACAGAAAAGATGTCATCTGTGCAGGACCGCCCTTTCCTGAAACCGCATTGGGGCTCCACAAGCCTCTCCTCAGCGTGCCTAGCAAGGCGATGTTGAATAATCCTTGCCGGGACCTTTCCCGGCACACTGAGGAGTGAGATGCCCCTGTAGTTGTTACAGTCTGTGCGGTCCCCCTTCTTAAAAAGAGGGGGACCACCAGGGCATCCTTCCAATCTTGCGGAACACGTCCAGTGGTCCAGACTGTTGTTATGATGTCATATAGGGCAGTCTGTGCACAAACGCCACCCTCCCTCAGCATTTCGCTTGGGAGATCATCTCTGCCCGGTGCCTTTCCTGGTCTCAGACGCCGGATCGCCTTCAGTACTTTCTCAACAGATGGCACCTCAGCCAACCACTCACAGGGGGTGGCTTCTTCCAATATTTGAGGCACCGCAGCCTCAGCAGGGTTATCCCCACTTTGTGCCATGATGTTTTCCTGGCTGAGGTATTTCTCCTCCCCCGGGATCTCACAGACATGCTTAGCAAATCTGCAAACCTGTTCCTGGGGGTCGGAGATTGGATCACCGTTTTTTCCTCTAATGATGGAAATAGGTGTGGCGCTGCAGGCTACTTTTTTGATGGAGTTAAATAGTGATTTGTGATCGCGGGCCACTGAGGCAGACTCCATCTCCTCAGCAACCTGCGACCACCACCCATCCTTGCAGCGCCTTACGGCTCTCCGAACCTCCGAGCAAACGCTGCGGTAAGCCTCCTCATTCTCTGACGTGGGATGCTGTAGCCGATGAGAGTGGGCCTGTCGCTTTTTCTCAACTATCCTGAACACCTCCTCTGTCAGCCAGGGTCTCTGGGGAGGTCTGGACCGCGTACCCAAAGCAGCCATTGCAGCTGCATGAGTTACAGAATCAGAATCAGAAACGGTTTTAATCGCCATGTAAGTTTGCACAAACAAGGAATTCACTATGGCGGGACGGTGCATACATTGAACAAGTAGGAATCTAAACTTATATAAAAGGTATACACTCTAACTATACTAACGTTACAAAGTATAAGTAATACCAAAGGGCTAAAATCTTTAAAATTATGAATAAGTAGACCTTATAAAATGCGAATGTTAAATGTTAATTAGCCGTATTAAGCAATCTTAAAATACAAAAATACAAATAAGATTACACGTTGTAAGTATGGAAAGGTGTAATTATGTAGATAAAATGTCATAGTAAGTGTAACAGTCATTTTAAGTGTAAAAGTCATTTTAAGCCCTTTGCCTTGTTGATGAGGCCAACAGCAGATGGGAAAAAACTGTTTTTATGACGTGAGGTTTTGGTCTTGATGGACCGCAGCCTTCTGCCGGAGGGGAGTAGCTGGAACAGAGAGTATCCAGGGTGCGAGGAATCGTCCGCAATCTTCCTCGCTCGCTTCAGGGTCCTCAAAGTGTGCAGGTCCTCAAGGGTTGGTAGATTACAGCCAATCACCTTCTCAGCAGTGCGGATGATACGCTGCAGTCTGCTCTTGTCCTTGGCAGTTGCAGCAGCGTACCAGACGGTGATGGAGGAGGTGAGGATGGACTGAATGATAGCTAAACCTCGCTCATTTACCCTCGACATCAGGAGGAGTGGGGGACGATGCCAACCCCAGCCGCAAGCGATGATGAAATTCTCGCTTGCAACTTTCATCAGCTAACTGAGACCAGGCCACTTTAGGTTGGAATGGGGTCCTGGGTGTACACCCACCACCGGAGTGGAAGAATGGCAGGCGCATCTTACAGATGACTAGTCGATGGTTACCACCACCATCACCACCACCATCACTACCACCACCATCACTACCACCACCATCACCACCATCACCACCACCATCACTACCATCACCACCACCATCATCACCACCACCACCATCACCACCATCACCACCACCATCACTACCACCACCACCATCATCGTACTCAGCCGGCAGTGGAGAGAGACTGACCCGGCCCATTTCATTACGATCCGTCACTTCGCTTGCTGATGTTGCTGATGATGATGATATTGAGGCTGCAGATGATGATGATATTATGCTGCTGATTATGATATTATGCTGCTGATTATGATATTAATGCTGCTGATGATATTGAGGCTGCAGATTAGCATATTGATGCTGTTGATGCTGATAATGATGCTGATGATATTGATATTGATGCTGCTGATGATATTGATGCTGCTAATAATTATTCTGATGCTGCTGCTGATTATGGTAATTCTGATGCTGCACTGCTGCTGATACTGATGATCTTGCTAATATTAATGCTGCTCAATCTTGATTTGAAACTTTCGTGACTGCAGGAATCTATACTCTTTGGTTCATTGGGCAAAGTCACGTAGGCCGAAAAAATAATAGATCACGACTTTTCGATCGCCACACAAGCAATCGTCTTCAGGTTGGTGAGAGAAACAGGCTGCTGAAACAAGTCCATACATAACTAGAGCCGAGAGGGGGGAGGGGGGAGGTGTGATTGATGCACCTCCACGGCGACGAAGAGCTGAGGAGAGGTGGCCATTGTGTCGTGAGAGATTAGCATGTAAATGTAGCATGTCAATGTAGCATGTCAATGTAGAATGTCAATATAGAATCTCAATGTAGCATGTCAATGTTGCATGTCAATGTAGCATGTCAATGTAGAATGTCAATGTAGCATGTCAATGTAGCATGTCAATGTAGAATGTCAATGTAGAATGTCAATATAGAATCTCAATGTAGCATGTCAATGTAAAATGTCAATGTAGTATGTCAATGTAGTATGTCAATGTAGAATGTCAATGTAGCATGTCAATGTAGCATGTCAATGTAGAATGTCAATGTAGAATCTCAATGTAGCATGTCAATGTAGCATGTTAATGTAGAATGTCAATGTAGAATGTCAATGTAAAATGTCAATGTAGCATGTCAATGTAGCATGTCAATGTAGCATGTCAATGTAGAATGTCAATGTAGAATGTCAATGTAGCATGTTAATGTAGAATGTCAATGTAGAATGTCAATGTAAAATGTCAATGTAGTATGTCAATGTAGCATGTCAATGTAGAATGTTAATGTAGAATCTCAATTTAGCATGTAAATGTAAAATGTCAATGTAGAATCTCAATGTAGCATGTCAATGTAGCATGCCAATGTAGCATGTCAATGTAGAATGTCAATGTAGAATCTCAATGTAGCATGTCAATGTAGAATCTCAATGTAGCATGTCAATGTAGAATCTCAATCTAGCATGTCAATGTAGCATGTCAATGTAGAATCTCAATGTAGCATGTCAATGTAGCATGTCAATGTAGCATGTCAATGTAGCATGTCAATGTAGCATGTCAATGTAGAATCTCAATCTAGCATGTCAATGTAGCATGCCAATGTAGCATGTCAATGTAGAATGTCAATGTAGAATCTCAATGTAGCATGTCAATGTAGAATCTCAATGTAGCATGTCAATGTAGAATCTCAATCTAGCATGTCAATGTAGCATGTCAATGTAGAATCTCAATGTAGCATGTCAATGTAGCATGTCAATGTAGCATGTCAATGTAGCATGTCAATGTAGAATCTCAATGCAGCATGTCAATGTAGAATGTCAATGTAGAATCTCAATGTAGCATGTCAATGTAGCATGTTAATGTAGAATGTCAATGTAGAATGTCAATGTAAAATGTCAATGTAGCATGTCAATGTAGCATGTCAATGTAGAATGTCAATGTAGAATGTCAATGTAGCATGTTAATGTAGAATGTCAATGTAGAATGTCAATGTAGTATGTCAATGTAGCATGTCAATGTAGAATGTTAATGTAAAATCTCAATTTAGCATGTAAATGTAAAATGTCAATGTAGAATCTCAATGTAGCATGTCAATGTAGCATGCCAATGTAGCATGTCAATGTAGAATCTCAATGTAGCATGTCAATGTAAAATGTCAATGTAGAATCTCAATGTAGCATGTCAATGTAAAATGTCAATGTAGAATCTCAATGTAGCATGTCAATGTAGCATGTCAATGTAGAATGTTAATATAGAATGCCAATGTAGCATGTCAAAGTAGAATCTCAATGTAGCATGTCAATGTAGCATGTCAATGTAGAATCTCAATGTAGCATGTCAATGTAAAATGCCAATGTAGAATCTCAATGTAGCATATCAATGTAAAATGCCAATGTAGAATCTCAATGTAGCATGTCAATGTCGAATGTCAATGTAGCATGTCAATGTAGCATGTCAATGTAGCATGTCAATGTAGAATGTCAATGTAGAATCTCAATGTAGCATGTCAATGTAGCATGTCAATGTAGCATGTCAATGTAGAATGTCAATGTAGAATGTCAATGTAGCATGTTAATGTAAACGAACCAAAGCAATGGTGACTGTGCTAGTGAGACATCCAGTTCGTTAGACAACGAGGTGAACAAACGAGGGACAACACCACATCGAGGGAAGGAGAGAGTCCCTCGTTTACATTGACATACTACATTGACATGCAACATTGAGATTCTAAATTGACATGCTACATTGATATGCTACATTGAGATGCTACATTGAGATTCTACATTGAGATTCTACATTGATATGTTACATTGACATGCTACATTGACATGCTACATTGACATGCTGAATTGAGATTCTACATTGACATGCTACATTGAGATTCTACATTGACATGCTACATTGACATGCTAAATTGACATTTAACATTGACATTCTACATTGACATGCTACATTTAGATTCTACATTGACATTTTACATTGAGATTCTACATTGACATGCTACATTGACATGCTACATTGACATTCTACATTGACATGCTACATTGAAATGCTACATTGACATGCTACATTGTCATGCTACATTGACATCCTACATTGAGATTCTACATTGACATGCTACATGTGGCTACAATGGCCACCTCCTCAGCTCTTCGTCGCCGTGGAGGTGCATCAATCACACCCCCCCCCCCTCTCGGCTCTATATATGTAAGGACTTGTTTCAGCAGCCTGTTTCTCTCTCCAACCTGAAGACGATTGCTTTTGTGGCGATCGAAACGTCGTGATCTATTATTTTTTCGACCTATGTGACTTTACCGAAAGAACCAAAGAGTATTGATGCTGCTGCTGATGATACTCATGATCTTGCTGTGATGATGATGATGCTGATGATGATCTTGCTGGTGATGAGGATTTCGATGCTGCTGCTGATGATACTGGCGATCTTAAATTTCGATTTAAAGCTTTCGTGACTGCAGGGATTCATCTTCTTGGTTCTTTCGGTAAAGTCACGTAGAAGGGAAGTAATAAAATAATAAAAATAAAACATAATAAAACAATTCTCACGACGTTTCGGCCACAACGCAAGTAGCCGTCCTCAGGTGAAAACCAGGTCTGTCGAGGCGACAGAGTCTGAATGAAACAGCACACGTGCTTGGAGCATGTATATAAGCTGGGTTGGAAGGGGGGATGCTGCTAATCCTGCATAATGCACGGGCATAAGTAGTACTAATCACCACATACCTGCATTTCCCATATCCCCTCCCTTTGATGCTGCTAATCCTGCATAATGCACGGGCATAAGTAGTACTAATCAAATACCTGCACTTCCCATAAATATGCTAAATTCCTCTTGATATGCATATTCTTTTGTCAAGGCGCCCGCTCTTTTTTTTCCCCCTTTCCAACCCAGCTTATATACATGCTCCAAGCACGTGTGCTGTTTCATTCAGACGCTGTCACCTCGACAGACCTGGTTTTCACCTGAGGACGGCTACTTGCGTTGTGGCCGAAACGTCGTGAGAATTGTTTTATTATGTTTTATTTTTATTATTTTATTACTTCCCTTCTACGTGACTTTACCGAAAGAACCAAGAAGACTGGTGATCTTGTTGTTGATGATGATGATATTGATGTTGTTGATACTACTGATGATGCTACTGCTGATTATGATGAACATCACAAAGGGCACGCGGGGGTTTCTTGCTGTTGATTATATTTGAGACGCGAGCGCTGTCCACGTGGCGACACGGTCACGACGAGACGCCGGAACTGGGGTCACGGTCAAGGTCAAGGCAGCTCGGGGGAGAAGGGGTAGGGTGAAGGCAGGGTCATCTCGGGGTCACGATTTAGAAGACCACCTATGGCCCAGCATCCAGGTCGGAGAGTGCCAGGGTCAAGGTGAGCTCATAGGTGAAGGGTCGTGCTGAATGCAGGCCATGGCTTAGGTCGGGTCATTGTCATCAGGGTCAATGCCGGTGTGAAGGTCAGGGTCATCTCAGAGTCGAGGTCATGCTGGCACGGGGGGTCAGAGACATGCATTATACATGGGTCAAGGTTATCTCAGGTGGAGGTCATCTCGTGTGAGGGTCAGGTCTCAAAAGACGGGCTCGGGTCCCAGACAATCCCGCGCAAGAGCCATCTCAGGGTGAGGTCATCTCAGGTGAAAGTCGAGGTCGGGGTCAGGGTGCGATCATCTCAGGTGAAAGCCAAGGTCGAGTTTGGTGTGCAGGGTGAGGACATCTCAGGTGAAAGCCAAGGTCGAGTTTGGAGTCAGATTGAGGTCATCTCAGGTGAAAGCCAAGGTCGAGTTCGGAGTCAGGGTGCGGTCATCTCAGGTGAAAGCCAAGGTCGAGTTCGGGGTCAGGTCTCAGAAGACGAGCTCGGGTCCTGGGCAGGCCGAGGCGAGGTGGGGCAGCAGTCCCCGGGGGAGGGGGTTCCCGTCCAGGCGGACGCGGCGAAGACCGCGGGGGGCCCCGGGGCCCCCTACTACACCTCCCCCTCCACACAGCGCCTGCGCGTCCAGCTCTGGGGAGCACGCACAACAACAACAACGACAACAACAACAACAACAACATTATTTTACCAGGTCAAGGCCCACTGTGCTCCGTAACTCTTTTTCAGAAGCGGTCCTGACTATCGCAATGATAGCCCAATAAAAGTGGCTTATCATGTGGAAATCTATAGCAGCAGCCAAATTCTCTAAATGCATGGTGTTGATTGTAAATGTGGAGGAAAAAAACCGGAGGACCCGGAGAAAAATCCACGGGACCTCGGGGATAGTGAGACACGCAAACTCCAAATATACAGCAGGCGTCAAGGGTTGGGATCGAACCCACGACCTCCTAGCCACCGTGGCACCTCAATGGGGATCGCACAGCAGCAGCAGCAGCATCGCCCCCTACTACCAACTTACTTCGGCAGGACCCTCTTGACAGAGAGTCTCGAGACTCGCTGAGGCTTTCCAGGCGGAATCATCGTAAATTACCACTCACATCTCCGCGTCGAAGGGGTGCTGGGTTTTGGGCACGTGGCGCGTGACACGTAGGACACGTGGCACGAGGCACGTGGGGCGCGTGGCACGTGGGTCACACGTGGTGCGTGGGGCAGGTGGCACGTGGGCCACATGGGGCAGGTAGGGCACAGGGTGCGGGATACGTGGCTCATAGGGGGCACGTGGGGCACGTGACATGTAGGGGCACGTGGACCGTTACAGTGTGCGAGTCGCTCACCACGGATGCTGTTGCCCTGCAGGTAGAGGTGCTGCAGGGAGGCAGGCAGGGCGGGCACACGGGACAGGTTGTTGAAGCTCAGGCCCAGCTCGAGGAGGGAGGCCGAGGAGTTGAATGCCTCCACCGGGATTTCGGCACTCCCCAGGGCGTTGTGGGATAGGCGCAGGTACTGCAGCTCGGGTAAGGCCTGGGGGTACCGGGGTCACCCGCCAATGGGTCATGATGGAGAGATAGAGGGGGGCGGGGGGGGGGCACAATGGGGACATGGAGATTAGACGCGGAGATGAGACGCGGGGATGGGGAGACATGGGCTCGCGCGTAGACACGCGAACACTGAGACACACCCTGGGTGATTGGGGGTCAAAGTCAGTGGCAGGGATAAAAGCGGTCGTTCAACATGATGAGGACCATCCCTCCTCCCGGAATCGGGGCCAAATCCTGGGTGCCCCTCTTTGCCAGATCCCCCCCACCCCCGTCCACGAGTTCCCCGTGGTGGTGGCGCACCCTCGTGGTGCGGCCCCGGTACTGCGCCACCACGCGCGTGCAAGGGAGACTTACCCTCCCTGGGCCTGGCCCTGACCCTGGCCTTGGCCCGGGTCGTTACCTCATCCTACCTTGGCCGTAACTGGTATACAGGAGGTCGTGGATTCGATCCCGACCCTGATGCCTGCTGTATATTTGGAGTTTGCGGCACTCTCTCCCCGTGGCGATCGCGTGAAGTGGCTTACCATCACGTGCAAAATTAATGCAGCCAAATACTCTAAACACGTGATGTTGATTGTAAATGTGTAGGGAATACCCGGGGGGACCCAGAGAAAAATCCACATGATCATGTTGAGAGACAACTCAAAATATACAGCAGGTGTCAGGGTCTGGATCGAAGCCACGACCTCCTGCATACCAGGCGAGGTAACTAACATCTCGTCTCCATGGTGCCCTTATCAACAGGATGATAAGCCACTTCAATCTTGATTTGAAGCTTTCGTGACTGCAGGAATCCATACTCTTTGGTTCTTTCGGCAAAGTCACGTAGATACAAAATTATTAATAGATCATGACGTTTCGATCACAACACAAGCTACCGTCTTCAGGTGACAGAGAGAAAGCTACTGAAACAAGGTCTTATATAGGCCTGAAATGGGTGCAGCCTCAGGGTAAGAGGGCGGGGCTAGAGATCGTCTGCCTGAGGCTGTGGAAGTGGCTATTGTATTGTGAGAGATTAGCATGTCAATGCACGAGCTCAGTATGTCGCAGCATCAGTAACTGAGCGAGAAGGACATCCAGCCCGTCAATACAAAGACATCCAACCTAATAATGCAACTCAGAGAGTCAGCTAAAATCGTTGGAAGGTTGGAAACATCACAGCAGGTTAAGACTTTACCTATTTAATCACGTCCTTCCAATGATTGCTCAATTTGTACCCATCTTCTCGGTTTGAAGTTGTGTCCGTGTTTACATATCTGGATGGCTTCATGAACACATCCTTGATGAGGGTTTGCAGAGTACCTTCGTCTTGAAGAAATCAATTTAGTGTGTGCCCACAGCGTTAAAACATTGATCCGCAACGGCAGAGGTATTGGTCCTACCGTGCTTCAGATCTGCCTAGTGTTCGCGAACACAGTCCGAGACATGTACCTTCTTTGTGGATTCTTGGAAGGCCATAAAATCTGGGTGGTCTAGCAGCAGAATGTTTTAGAGAGAGCAGCTTGGTTGGTTCAAATAGAGAAGTCGAGTTAGTGATGACATTGTTGGTTTTCGTAACTAAGCTGTTGGTAGGATCTCTATTGATAAAATAGCCACTTCCACAGCCTCAGGGAGACCATCTCTAGCCCTGCCCTCTTACCCTGAGGTTGCACCCATCTCAGGCCTATATAAGACATTGTTTCAGTAGCTGTCTCTCTGTCACCTGAAGACGGTCGCTTGTGTTGTGATCGAAACGTCGTGATCTATTAATAATTTTCTATCTACGTGACTTTACCAAAACAACCAAAGAGTATGGATAAGTCACTTCGTTGGGCTAATAGCTCAGTGGGCTTTACGTGGTAACAGTAAAATGTTTGATCAGCTTAACGACAGCACGAGAGCATCGTGAGCCCGGGACCGTTGAGTGACCCGACCTTGAGGAAGCCGCTGGGGATGGAGGGCACGAGGTTGTGGTCCAGGTAGAGCTGCTGCAGAGTCGCGGGGAGCGGCGTGGGCAGCGAGCGCAACGCGTTACCCGACAGATCCAAGCGACGCAGAGACTGGGGTGGGGGGGATACAAATACCAACTCACTCATTTAACCACTCACTCACCCACTCAGCCACTCACTTACCCACTCAGCCACTCACTCACCCACTCAGCCACTCATTCACTCAGCCACTCACTCACCGCCTCACCCACTCAACCACTCACTCACCCACTCAGCCACTCACTCACCTAATCAGCCACTCATTCACCCACGCAGCCATTCACTCGGCCACTCACTCACCCATTCAGCCACTCCCTCACCCACTCAGCCACTAACTCACTCAGCCACTCGGCCACTCACTCAGCCACTTACTCATCCACTTACTCACCCACTCAGCTACTCACTCACCCACTCATCTGCTCACTCGCCCACTCACCCACTCACTCATTCACCAACTCAGCCACTAACTCACTCAGCCACTCGGCCACTCACTCAGCCACTCACTCACCCACTCGGTCTTTCACTCATCTACTCAGCCACTCACACGCCCAAGCAGCCACTCATTCGCCCACGCAGCCACTCACTCAGCCACTCACTCACCCACTCATTTACTCACTCACCCATTCAGCCACTCACTCACCCACTCAGCCACTAACTCATTCACCCACTCAGCCACTCACTCACCTACTCAGCCACTCACTCCCCCCATTCGGCCACTAACTCAGCCACTCACTCGCCCACTCGGCCACTCACTCAACTACTCACTCACCCACTCACTCACCCACCCACTCACCCACTCACTTACCGCGGCACTCACCCACACACTCACTCACCCACCCACTCCCTGAAACACTCACCCAGACACTCAATCACCGAAACACTCACACACTCACTCATCACTCACTTACCGAGACACTCACTCCTTCACTCGCCCACTCACCAATACACCCACCCACTCACTCACCGAATCACTCACACACTCACCAAGACACTCACCCACTCACTCACTCACTCGCCAAAACACTCACACACTCACTGAGACACTCACCCATCCGATTACCGAGACACTCACCCATCCGCCCACCCACTAACAAAGACTCCCACCCGCTCCCTCACCCATTGACAATTACATTTTCACTTACATTAATTATTACACTCATCCATTACATCATTAATTTACTAACACATCGACTCATTCACGCACTCAGGGGGCTGTGGCGGGGGTGGGGTGACTTGGGCAGGGAGCGCAGTGCTAGTCCATTGATACTCATTCAACCTCTCATTCACTCTCTCATTCAATCATTCACCCTGTCACTCACTCTCAAATTCACTCTCTTATTGTCTTAGCCATTCATCTAATTCACATAAATTTACCATATGATTCGCTATCTCATTCACTCTTTCATTCACTGAGCCATTTACTATCTCATCCATGCAGTCGTGCACTCATTAATTATTATTCACTATGTCAGTCACTTTTATTCACTCATTCATTGTCATTCGCTTCATTTAATATTTCGCTAATCAATTTTCATTCACTCTTATCCGCCCTCCCATTCAGCCTCTCATTTACCTTCATATTCACCCTCTCACTTATTCACCCCCTGCCCCCCTCTCCCCCCGTCCCCACTCACCTTGAGGGACCCTAGGGCCCCAAACCCCCCCTCTCCCAGGAGGTTGTTGTGCATCAGCAGTGAGGTGAGGTTGTGCAGCGTTCCCAACGTGCCGCCCGCCACCGACGAGATGCGGTTGTGGCCCAGGCGCAGGTCCAGCAGGGACAGCGGCAGGGAGGGGGGCACCTGGGGGTCCGGGGAGGGGGGGGCGGTGCGGGGGGAGATTGCGGGGGGAGGCCGGGGGGTTGGCAGTCGCCATTGGGGTCGGGGAGAGGGGTCACCGGGGCTGTGCGAGCATGAGCGGTTGATGGTCGTCGTGGTGAGGATTGTGATGGCGATGATGGTGAATGCGATTGGTGGCGAGGAGTGCGATGGTGGTGAGGAGTGTGATGGTGGTGATGATGAGGAGTGTGATGGTGGTGATGGTGGGTGGTGAGTGCCATCGTGGTCGTGGTGGTGGCGGTGGTGTGGATTGTAATGGTGATTATGGTGAGTGTGATGGTGGTGGTGAGTGTGATGGTGGTGGTGAGTGGTGGTCAGTGTTGGCGGTGGTGATGAGTGGTGGTCCTGATGAGTCCGTCTGCTACAGCAGAGGTGTAATAAATTCCAACAAGACCTTCATCTCTGCCTTATTGACCTGGTCAAGGCCTATGATACTGTAGGGGTGTCAGGGGAAGGTTTCCCACCAACAGGAGGGGGAGTGGGACGGTGACAGGGGAAGGGGGAGGAGCAAGCCAGGAGATATGAGGGAGAGAACGGGCGGGAAGAAGGATTGGTTGGCGGGAACGAGATTGGGACGGCTGGGGAACGAGGTGTGGATGGGAGAAAAAGAATAAAAGACGAACCCCCTGCAACCTTGTGTCGGCTCACCTTTACAATACCATCAGTAGGCCTGGGCTCTGGGTTGTTCTTCGTGCTTTCAAAGTCCCTGACTTTCTGCTCACATTTATTAAAGGCCTTCATGATGGTGGGCAGGCCCGGGTAAAACTACGTGGCTGGGAGTCCGAGTCATTCCCTGTTCACCTTGTGGTGCGACAGGGATGTCCTCTGGCTTCCACGTTATTTGCCATATATTTCGATCATGTAGCTCGTGAAGCCTTCGATGGCTGTACTTGAGGAATTTCCATCTGGTACAGATACAATGGGAGGCTTATCGATGCCAGGGTGCGGTCAAGGGATGGCTCCCTATTGGTCAGCCATGTTACGTATGCCGATGATCTGGTAATTGCTGTTCACTCAGAGGAGGAGTTGGAGGCGCTGCTACTGAACCTGGAGCGTGCTACTAAGAGGTCGAGCCTTATCATCAGCTCCACCAAAACTAAGCACCTGCCTGGGTATTTTGTATCATCAGACACTCCACCCCCACAACTCCCAATTGGTGATGGGGCAGTTGTGGAGAGGGTGGAGAGTTTCCAATACCTGGGCAGTGTACTTATGACCAGCTCCGAATCACTCGGGCAGCATTATATTTTCATTGGCTGTGTAATGCTGTATGGAAGCTACCTGGTCTGCTACTCCGCACGAAGCTACGGGTCTTCTCGGCCACAGTCATGCCCTCCCTTCATTTGCGCCGGTTACAAACATTCAGGCTGGCATGCTTACGATCAATCCTGCGTTTGACCAGACTGGACCGGCTGCGGTTTGACAGCAGAGGTCTCACTCCGAATCAGTCGAGCGGCATTATCTTTTCATCAGTTGCTTAACGCTGTGTGGAAGCTACCTGGTATGTCGCTCCACACGAAGCTTTTGGTCTTCTCGGCCACAGTCATGCACTCCCTTCTCTACGCTTGCGAAATGTGGACCCCCCTAATGGAACATCTTCGCTAGTGAGAAATATATAGGCTGGCCTGCCTACGATCCATCCTGGGTTTAACCATGCTGGATTGTGTGAGGAGCTCTCAAACCCTTGAAAGATCTGGACAAAGTCCCATCGGTGAGCTCTTCTCCAAGCAAGGCTGCGTTGGCTGGGTCATGTAGCCCGCATGCCCAGCCACTGCATGCCTAAATAGCTTTTGTTCGGAGCTGAATGGGTACGGCACAGGCTGGAAAAGAGATGGAGTGATGTGATACAAGAGGATGTGGAGCTGAGTGGACTTGACTATGACTGGTACCAGCGGTGTCAAGATCGGCCTCTGTGGAGGAGATTTGTGAAGAACACCATTGGGCAGTTGGAGGCAGTCCCCCTCCAACAACAACGGAGGGCGGTGGAGCGACACTCACAACAACGAGTGGAGCGCCGGGGGGCTAAAACACAGCAAATTAGCACAGTAGGGGGCACAGGTGGTGCATCATCCAGTCATCTCAGTCAGTTGACCCATGGCACCTAGGTCTGCCCCGTGACCTCCTGCCAGCGGGCGTTCGACACTTCACGTGGCCTCAACGTGAACATAGCCTGGCACAAGCGCCGTGGTGACGTCACCGCCACTTCGTGTTGTTGTTGTTGGTGGTGAGTGTTGCTGGTGAGCGTTGGCGGTGGTGGTGGTGAGCCACCTGGGTGAGGTTGTTGAAGTCGAGGTAAAGTCTCTGCAGCTCCCCGAGGCGTGCGAGAGCTCCGCTGTCCAGCTCAGTGATCTGGTTCCTCTGCAGCACGAGCCATTCCAGGCGCGTGGCGTTCCTCAGCGCACCCTCCGGCACCACGTCCAGCTGGTTATCCTGCATAGAGTTGCTCACTCGCTCACTAACCCACTAGCCCACCCACTCGCTCACCTACTGACCCAATCACTCACCCACCCACCCACTCACCCACCTTCTCACCCACCCACTCACCCCCGCCCCCCCTCCCCCACTCACTCGCTCACCCACTCGCCCACTCACCCATCCATTCACTCAACAACAACCACCATTCGCCCCTAAGTGGCGGTGACATCGTCACAGCGCTGGTGCCAGGCCAGGTGCACCTTGAGGCCTCGTGAAGTGTTGAACGCTCGCTGCTGGTAGGAGGTCACGGGACAGACCCAGGTGCTATGGGTTGACTGACTGAGATGACCTGTGCTCCCCCACTGCGCCAACTCATTGCGTTTTTAGTCACTCGGTACTCCGCTCGTTATTGTTGAAGGACGACTGCCTCCAACTGCCTAGTAGCAGCATCCTTCACAAACCTCCAGAGAGGTCAATCTTGACACCGCTGGTACCGGTCATCGGCACGTCCACTCAGCTCCACATCCTCCTGTACCACATCAGGCAGGCGCATCTTACAAATGGCAAGACGATGGTCAGTGGGCTAATCGGCTCCATGGTAGGCCCTGGTGTCAAGGACATGGGCCCACATTTGCTGTTCAGGAACTATGTAGTCCAGCAGATGTCCTTGCTCGGACCCGGCGGGCATCACTGATGTTGTGTCAATGTGTCGATGCCGAAAGAGCGCGTTAGTGATTACAAGTCGAATGGGCTGCACAGAAAGTCGAGCGGCCTCCTACCGTCAGGGCCTTTATAAGGTCGCCAAACCCCCAAACGTGGCCAAGCCCGAGAAGGCTGTGCCATAGCAGCGATCGCCCCCAGACAATTTGAAATCACTCCGTCACAGCCTCCTGCCGTCGTAAGCGAGACCCGCGCTGATAAATGTGACATAGAGCGTCGCAGCAGCTCATTGGGGCCCTTACCGCTGCATAAGATTGCAAAAAAGAAAAAATCTAAATCCCAGCTGATCTGTTCCACGCCTTTAAATAACTTCAGCTCAATCGCCGCCATCATGGCCCACTCAGGCATGAAATTCACCTGACGGGGTGACTCCCGAGGGGCAACTTTAGCCAGCACTTGGGATGTTCATCTTCGATGGGGCGGAGGGGGGGGGGTAAAGCCACCCCCGCCACCACCACCGTTCATCACCTCCCGTCGATGGAAGACTGTTCCATCCCTCGGAGTGATTGGAGCCAGAACCGGACCAGCAGAACCTCCTGTAGACCACAGAGGTCCCAGGTGGTACCGGTCCAGCTCCCCAGTCATCCATGTTCCCAGTCAATCACAAACCTGCTCGCCCAGGCACTCACTCAACCGCTTACCTGCTCACTCACCCGGTCACCTATTTACACACCCACACTTATCCACTCACCCGACGCTGACCCGGTTATTCACGTGCCGAGTTCCTCACCCGGTCGCTCACTCACCACGTCACTCGCTCTCCCAGTCACTCACCACGTCACTCACTCACCAACTCACTCACCACGTCACTCACTCGCTCAGTCACTCACCACGTAACTCGCTCGCCCAGTCACTCACCACGTCAGTCGCTCGCCCAGTCACTCACCACGTCACTCGCTCGCCCAGTCAATCACCACGTCACTCACTCACCAAGTCACTCACCACGTCACTCACTCGCTCAGTCACTCACCACGTCACTCGCTCGCCCAGTCACTCACCACGTCACTCGCTCACCCAGTCACTCACCACGTCAGTCGCTCGCCCAGTCACTCACCACGTCACTCGCTCGCCCAGTCACTCACCACGTCACTCGCTCGCTCAGTCACTCACCACGTCACTCGCTCGCCCAGTCACTCGCCACGTCACTCACTCACAAAGTCACTCACCAAATCACTCGATCGTCCAGTCACTCACCACGTCACTCGCTCGCCCAGTCACTCGCCATGTCACTCACTCACCAAGTCACTCACCACGTCACTCGCTCGCCCAGTCACTCACCACGTCACTCGCTCGCCCAGTCACTCACCACGTCACTCGCTCGCCCAGTAACTCACCACGTCACTCACTCACCAAGTCACTCACCACGTCACTCGCTCGCCCAGTAACTCACCACGTCACTCACTCACCAAGTCACTCACCACGTCACTCGCTCGCCCAGTAACTCACCACGTCACTCACTCACCAAGTCACTCACCACGTCACTCGCTCGCCAAGTCATTCACCACGTTACTCACTCACCAAGTCACTCACCAAGTCAATCGCTCGCCCAGTTACTCACCACGTCACTCGCTCGCCCAGTCACCCACCACGTCACTCACTCACCAAGTCACTCACCACGTCACATGCTCGCCCAGTCACTCACTACGTCACTCACTCACCAAGTCACTCACCACGTCACTCGCTCGCCCAGTCACTCACCACGTCACTCACTCACCAAGTCACTCACCACGTCACTCGCTCGACCAGTCACTCGCTCACCCAGTCACTCGCTCACCACGCCACTCGCTCACCAAGTCACAGACCCGTCTGACAGCGCTTGGCTGCACCTGTTCCATTGTAAAGGTGCCTCTCTTTCCCGTCTGTTAAAGGGCCCCTTCTCTTAAAGGGACCCTTCTCTTACCCCTCTCTTAAATATTGACACGTTCTACTTAATTAAATAGACTTTTTAATAAATGTTTTCTCCTACAACATCAGAGTGCAGCGCCACGTTAAATACGCACTACAATGACAATAGTTTCAAGCGATTTGAAGCATGTTTTATTTGGGGGAGGGGGCGAGCTTTGTGACGTCATATTTGAGGGGGGTCAGTCTTTTTATGACGCCGTGTGACGAGGGGGGGGGTCAAAAATCGTCAAAAATCGCGTGACGTTATTTGTGGACGGCCCCTAAAGGGACCCTTCTCGTAAATGTACAAGTCTTAAAGGGACCCCCTCTTAAAGAGACGCATCTCTGAAAGGAAAATGTATTAAAGGGAATCGACTATTGAAGGTACAGTCCATGCCTGAAGGGGACATGTTTTACAGGGACGCGTCTCTTAACGGTACCCGCCGCTTAAAGGGATACGATCCTAAAAGGGACCCGCCTCTTAAAGGGATCTGTTTCTTAAATGGGACCCGCCTCTTAAAGGGACCTGTTTCTTAAAGCGATCCGCATCTTAAAGGAATCCTCTTAAATAAACCTGTCTCTTAAAGGGACCCGACTCTTAAAGGCACTCAACTCTTAAAGGGACCCGTTTCTTAAAGGGAACCCGCCTCTTAAAGCGATCCGCCTCTTAAAGGGACCCGTCTCTTAAAGATATCCGTGTCTTTAAAATGGACCCGCCTCTTAAAGGGACCCGCGTCTTAAAGGGTACCCGCCTCTTCAAGGGACCCGTCTTTTGAAGGAACCCGCCTCTTAAAGAGTACCCATCTCTTAAAGGGTACCCTCTCTTAAAGGGTACCCACCTCTTAAAGAGTACCCATCTCTTAAAGGGTGCCCATCTCTTAAAGGGTACCCCTCTCTTAAAGGACAACCACCTCTTAAAGAGTACCCATCTCTTAAAGGGTACCCCTCTCTTAAAGGGTACCCACCTCTTAAAGAATACCCATCTCTTAAAGGGTACCCTTCTCTTAAAGGGCACCCATCTCTTAAAGGGCCCCGTTTCTCACGCACCTGGAAGAACGCGAAGCGGATCCTCGCCGGGATGGGCGGCATCACCTTGAGGCCGCGACCGTCACAGTAGAGGGACTCGGGCCAGCGCGCCGGGCACTCACACTCCGCGGGGCAGTCCCCCTGCGGCGTGCCCCCCTGCAGCGGGGCAGGGCTCCCCCCCTCCTGCCGGGGTCGGTAGTAGTTGAGGCCGGAGGCCGACCCCACCACCGCTGCCGCCAGCAGCAGCAGCAGGAGAGGCGCCATTCGGGCGAGCTGCCAGAACGGGGAGCCCGGGCGAGCCATTGCTCTTGGGTTGATGCTGAGGAATGGCGCTGTCAGTGACGCACGCGAGGTCCCTGCACGAGACGGGGATCGGTACAGGGTGGGTCCCGTGAGAGACGGGAAGGGAAGGGTCCCTTTAAGAGAGGTCCCTTTAAGAGCAGTGTCCTCCACTCATTGTCAGAGAGGGTGATGATGGGGGGGGGCACTTTCGCCGACAAGACATCGTCAGTAGTGTGAGGAGGGCCCCCCACTCCATTTGAAACCATTGTTGGGTTCGTCACAGCATCACAATGACGACGACGAGGTGGGAATGCGCTTCGCTGTGTATTGCTGCAGGCCGCACTGCAGGCCACCGCGAGCCTTGCAATGAAGAACCACTACTTGGAGGGTGGGGGAGGTGGGTTAGGGAGGCCCTCGCAAGACATCGGCCTGGGTGGTGGTGGCTCCACCGCCACACGGCGCTTCCTGGAAGGTCGCTCCATGGCACACGGCTGTCGTTAGACTCACTTGCCGTGAGCGTCGAGGCGCTGTGCCCTGCGTCTGTTCCATCTGTACGGGGATAGAGTGTTTCCCCCTCGCACGTACGCGCATGTACTCTCTCCCCGGGTGCTCCGGTATCTTCCCACACGTAAAAGCACCCAATGAATTGGCCGATAACACCTTCATATGTAGAGGGTTGCAGAGCTTGAGGGGGGGAGAGGCAAGCCCCCACCCTCCCCCCTGCTCGTTACGCCGCTCTTGGCTGTGTGTGGCCAGGCCATTTTTCCGTACAACGATGATGATGGGTGACCGGGACTCTCCTCCTGTGGTCCACCCCCCCCCCTCAGGATGTGGAATTCACGTCCGTTGGACTGTGTGCGTGTGTGCCTACGTGTGTGTTTCACGGTAGTGTAGCAGTCAGCGCGCCGCGCTACGAACCTGGCGACCCGGATTCGATTCCTGCTCGCGGTCACCACCAGTGGCGATTATCTTAACCGGTCTTGGGCGTCCCCTAGGGCGACTCAGCCTCAATTGAGTACCTGGTGCGGTGTGTAGTTAACATCGCCATTGGGGAGACAAAGGCGGCCGGGCGTGGTGTTGGCCACCCTCCCCTTCATGTACCGTGCCGGCCTTCACAAGTATTCGCGAACAGCACTTCTCCCAACAGTCTGCGAAAGGCTATCCGAGGGATCTTTGTCTTTTTGTTTAACGGTGGGCAAAGGAGCGACGCTCACAACAACGAGCGGAGCGCCGGGTGGCTAAAACGCAGCAAGTTGGCACAGTGGGGGACAGAGGTGGTGCATCGGCCACTCATCTCAGTCAGTCAACCCCATGGCACCACCTGGGTCTGTCCCGTGACCTCCTGCCAGCAGCGAGCCTTCGACACTTCATATGACCTCGGAGTGCACCCAGCCTGGCACAGGCGCCGTGGTGACGTCACGGCCACTTAGTGGCGAATGGCGGCTACTGTTGTCGTTGTTGTGTACACCGGATCCAAGGCGCTTTAGCAGGGTAAAATATTAATATTGTGATTAAGAGATGGGAGCGAGAGGTCCTATTGAATGGAGCGGTCAAGATGCGTTCCGTTGTTCACGCAACGGATTCCTTAGTGCAGGGGGCGTCGAGCTCCGTTGGCTACCATCATCACCATCTTCACGGTGCGAAATAAGTTCAACATTCATCATCAATATCATCACTCGAAGAAGCAACAGCATCAGGAGCATCATCAGCAGCAGCTGCAGCAACCGCGTGCATCGCTCACAATAGTAACAACGTTATTAACATCACCATCATCAAAGACAAAGACAAAGGTCCCCCATATAGCCTTAACAGACTGTTGGGGCAAGTGCTGTTCGTGAGCACCTATGAAGGCCGGCACGGCACCCGAGGGGGTGGGTGGCCAGCACCACGCCCGACCGCCTTTGTCGCCCTAGTGGCGATGTTTACACACCGCACCATGTACTCATTTCAGGCTGAGTCAACCTAGAGGAGGCCCATGACCAATTCAGATAATCGTCACTTGCGTTGATCATCGTCACCATCATCAGCATCATTATCCACCTTCACCATCATCACCATCGTCATCACCGTCTGCATCATCGTCATCACCACCCCCACCATCCTCACCATCACCATGATCATCATCATCAACACCTTCATCACTCCCAACATCATCGGCGTCACCACCATCATCATCATCATGATCACCGATGTCAACATACACACCATCATCACTTTATTCATCACCACCATCATTATCAGTACCACCACCATCATCACCATCTTCATCACTACCACCATCATTATCATTACCACCACCATCATCACAATCTTCATCACCACCATCATTATTATCATCACCACCACCATCATCACCATCTTCATCACCACCACCATCATTATCATCACCACCACCTTCATTATCATTACCACCACCATCATCCTTGTCTCTGGATCTCGGTCTCTGGGTCTCGCACTCTGCCGTGTGCCCTTACCTCTGCTGCTCTCGTCTCCCGTCTCTCTCCCTCTCTCGATCTGCTCGGTTCTCTCCTCTCTCGCTCTCGAGTCACGTGTCCTGTGACCCTTGAGCAATAATGAGACCCCTACCCCTGCCTCCCCACTCCTGCCCTCCCCACTCCCCCATACCCCTGCCCCTCCCCCAGCCCAGGATAAGGGATACGCGAGGTATGTGAACACACACACAAAGACACACACACATACACGTGTGTACACGCACACAAACACGTGCACACGTGTTTGCAGCAACAACTGCCGATCGCCACGGTGCTTGTACCAGGCTGGGTGCACTTTGAGGTCATCACGTGCGGTGTCCAAGGCAGGAGGTCACGCGACTGACCCAGGTGCCATGGGTCCGGTGACTGAGATGACTGGCAGATGCACCACCTATACCCCCAACTGTCCCAATTTGCTGCGTTTTAGACACCCGACGCTCCGCTCGTTGTTGTGAGCGTCGCTCCTCCGCCCTCCGTTGTTGCTGAGGGCGACTAAGAGTATGCCTCCTTCAACGAGCCTCTTCCATAGAGGCTGATCATGACACCACTGGTACCAGTAATTGACAAGTCCACTCAGCTCCACATGCTCCCGTAGCGCGTCACTCCATCTTTTCTCCAGCCCGTGTCGTGCCCGTTTAGCCCCCTCGATCTGGTCAAACAAAATCTGTTTCGGCATGCGGTGGCTGGGCATGCGGGCTACATGACCCAGCCAATGCAGCCTTGTCTGCCGGAGGAGCTCACTGATGGGACTTTGTCCAGATCTTTCAAAGATTTGTGAGCTCCTCACACAATCTTGCCTGGTTAAACCCAGGATGGATTGTAGGCAGGCCAGCCTGAAGGTTTATAACCGGCGCAGATGTTCCAATAGAGGGGTCAACATTTCAAAAGCATAGAGAAGGGACGGCATGACTGTGGTCGAGAAAACCCGACGCTACGTGTGGAGCGACAGACCAGGTAGCTTCCACAGCATTACGCAAATACACGGTTACGGACATATATAAACACACTCGTACTATTACACACACAAAGATTACCCTCTAGTCCCGGCCTTCATAGGTGCTTGCTAACAGCACCTATGAATGCCGGAACAGTGAGCACATACAAAGGCTGGCATGGCACGCTAGGGGGGTGGTGGTTTACACACCGCGCAAGGTGGAGGCCCAGGATAATCGTCACTGTTGTTGGCCATGATTCTGATTCTGAACTCGGGTGGCCGCTAACCGCTGCGCCACCGCTCCCCACACAGGCACAAAGCAGAGCATTTCACCTTCAAACAGACACCCTCCCCCCTACCCCCTCCAGCCCGACCCCTGAGACCCCTGGGACCCGGTGACCCCTTAACCCCGGGGTGCCACGATCCCTTCAAAGGGGTCCGATGCCTGGCGGGGGAGGGGGGCCACGTGGATCTGGTTAGAGACGCGTTCCCTCCCTCTCTCCCACACTCCTCCATTATGAATCACGCTCAATCCATCATCAACATCATCCCTAACGCTCCTCCTACATCACCACAGCTTCTACATCAACAACATCATTATCGTTATTCCTACAACATCATCACCATAGCTTCTACATCTATATCATCGGCATAATCAGCAGCCCATCATAAAGGCGTCTACATCATCATCAATATTACGTTTTACTACTACAACATAATCAACAGCACCATCCCATCCTAGGTTTACATCATCAACAACAACATACCTAGGACAAACCGAAAACCGGTTTTAACTGGGTTTGTCCATACGGTTTGCGGCTACAATGTTAATCACACTTTATAAAGTTAGCTACCCTTTACAATTTTAACCATCCTATACAATGTTAACTATCCTAAACAATGCTAAGCTCCCTATACAATGTTAACCACCCTATACAATGTTAGCCACCCAATACAATGTTAACCATCCTATACAATGTTAACCATCCTAGACAATGTTAGCCACCCTATACAATGTTAACCATCCTATACAATGTTAACTATCCTATACAATTGTAGGGGTGTTAAAGAGAGGGCTCGTTATGCATGGCAGCCTATGGAAAACAAACACAGTGGGCGGGGCTACGTAAGTGCACGAGGAGGTGCCCTCTACGACGTCCGAGCCAGACACCCTGGGGGGGGGCTGGTTCGAACGTTATGATCCCCCGGGGCCCCACCCCTCAGGGAGGGGTTGGGTATAAAAGGGGATGTTCAAAGGGCTCAAGTCAGTTATGTTTAAGCTAAGGGAAGAAGACTGAAGACGTCTTAAATAGAGCCCTGGACTCCCCTGGTTCGATGTCCTTTTCAGGGCCGGACAGGACTGAGCCAGCGGCGTGGTCCCGAAAGCCAGAGCCGGTGCTCTTGTAAGAGCTGGTCTGGAACTCCGGGTACCGGGCCCGACTTACCAGTGTCGGGCCAGTTAGCCTCCCCTAGCCCATTAGTGGAGGATTCGGGGCTAGGACAGAGTTAGCTAGGGGTGTATCCCGAGTTATACGGGTGAGGGGGCCGATACCCCCTCGAGTGTGTATATGCCCACTGTCGTATTGTGAATAAATATACGTGTGCCTCAACCTCGGCGTCAAGCGTCTTCACCGGTACTTCAACTGGTGTCAGAAGTAATTCGAACATGGACACGCGGAAAACAGCGCGGGCCAAAGTACCGCAGGAGGAAGACACTGCCGAGATCGTCGAGCCCGAGACGGCTCCACAAGACATGGTGCAGCCGGGGCCTGACGCCTCCTTACCGGGGCATCGAAATGAAAAGGGGCCGCAGCCAGACGCGTTACGGCTGGCTCACGGGAGGCTGGCGGAGCTGCTGTATGCCGCTGCCGCCACGCTGGAGACCATCACGCGATTAGGGGCCGGTGATCCAACACGGGGCGAGGCGAGCCAACGACCAGGGCGCCTTCCCGCCATTTCGGAGCAGTCCGAATTTGAAATTCCCGCCATCGACGCTACAGCTGTTCAGGGCGTGGCCAGCCTGGACATCCGCTCCGACATCGCCGTCGCTGAAGCTGCAGCGTCATCACAACCGCGACAGGCGATCCCATCGGCCGTTCGCACCGACGCACAGCCGAGTGGTGGTGACATCAGCCTGCGGGAGTCTACAACAACCGCTGCGCTTCATCAGAGACTGCCCCCGCTGAAGGAGTTCATCGGCGCGGAGGGAGACTGGGCCGGTTTTCGCCGACGTTTCCTCGCCCATCAGGAGATGGCGAAATGGTCCGATGAGGAGGCTCTCTGCGCGCTGCCGGCGCTCCTCGACGGCGACGCGCTCGCCGCCCTCACATCGGCGCCGAGAGAGAAGCGGACTACTTTACCGATGGCACTACAGCTGCTGGGCGGGGTCTATGGACCATCGGCTGAATGCCGACAGCAATTTTACGACCGCAAGCGGGGTGACAAGGAGTCGCCCCTAGCATACCGGACGAGCCTCCTGGCGATGTCTAAGTCGGCCTTCCCTCGTATGGACGACGACGGCGTGGATGCTATGGTCACGGAGAAAATCCTCCTCCTGGCAGACGACCTTGACATCGCTGTGGTCGCGCAGGAGGACGCGGAGATGACATCGCTCCAGGCGGCAAGGCTCCTCCACGCCAACCTCCTGTCGCTCCGGCGGAAAGCCAGCAGGGCATCGGCGGGGCGTGCGGTGGCTGCAGCCACCCTTCCGACGGAGGAGCTCTACGCCGTCGACCACCGACGGCAACAGGCGACGGGAGCACGGTCGGGCCGGGACGGGTCGGGCCGTTCCGACCATCCGTCACCTCCGACGGCGCTCCCGCGGTGTTTTAACTGCGGCGTCCGGGGCCACGTCGCCTCGGGGTGCCGCTCTCCTCGTCAGCGCGGGACGACACCTCAACGGGACGATGGGCCTCATCACAAGCTCCACCATCATAACCCGGCGAGTCGCGGCACCCCACACGTTTGGCCCACACACACGCCCGTCACGCACTCAAACACCGCAACGAGAGGGGGGCCGATATCGCGCACCATCGCACCATCACGCACCACTCCGGGTACTCATATCGAACCCGGCCAGTGGTCCGTGCTGGCCGATCGTGTGGTAGCCGCATCGTCGGGGTCGTCGGCCGTTGTGGGGCACATCGACGGGGTTGAAGTGCGCATCCTGGTCGATACGGGAGCATCGGCGACCATTATTTCGGAGTTAATTTACAATATTCTCCCTGTCCGGAGCCGTCCTTTGATGCCTGTTAACGTACAATTCTATGCGGCTAACGGGGGCTCACTTGGCATCATCGGACAAATTCGTGCCCAAATTTGTATTGGGGAAATTAAATTGTCTGGGCCGATTTTTGTTTCCTCCTCGCTGGCGGTTCCGTACCTGCTGGGGACGGACTTCCTGGCCAAAATGCCGATTAGGATATTAATCGACCAGGGATGTATTGAGCTCCCGTCGGGCAGACGCATGGCGTTTCTGCCATCGCCAGTTACGACTCGGACGGCGTTCGCGACGGTGCCGGCATTCGTAGAGAGAACGGTGCGCGTCCCTCCGGGGGCGCAAATGTTGATTCCTTTGAAACTTCGGCGGCCCTTCGCCATAGATATTGGGGCCCAAGGGGTTCTGCTGGGGCCGTCTAGGGCCGGGGTTAGTGGACCTCATTTACTTCCGGCCCAGACCATAGTAAGAGGGGACGGTGAACCCTTCATCGCGGTCCTCAATGTGGGCTCGCAGACGGTGGTGGTCCCACAGGGGACCGTGCTTGCTCACGCAACGCCGGTGCCATGTGAGGAACCCGTCGCAAATCACATCAGCGTTGTCCCTGCGCCGCGACCGCATTTGGACAGCGATGAAGGGTGGCTCGAGGCGCTTTGTGCGGGATCAACGGACCTGTCAGATTCAGAGCGTCAACAACTTAAAACACTACTACGGGAATTTTCCGACGTTTTTAGTCGGAATAAATACGATTTGGGTTGTACTCACCTGCTGCGTCACCATATTGACACGGGTGACAGCGCGCCAATTCGTCAAAATCCGTTTCGGTTGAGTCCCGCCGAAAAGGACCATGTCAAATCGGCTATTGATGACATGTTGGCCGCCGACATCATTTCTCCTTCCACCAGCCCTTGGGGAGCGCCGATTGTCC